ATTTGCTGTTTAGGTTTTTTTGCTTTTACAAAAACTTCTCAGGAAATTGACATGAATGGTAAAAAGAAAAGAGGAAAGAAAAAGCTGTGTTAATATCGCAAAGAAATTGTTATGTAACACAAATGATATTCTGAACTTCTCATAAGGTCATAAACCTACTGAAGATCAATGTAAATTCCACAGCACCAAAATCTGATGTCAAATCTAAAGGTGATAGGTAACTTGTTAAAATGAGTTTATATAATTAACCTATTAAAGATTCCACATTCAATTTCCTTGGTTCGAGACTATAATTAGGCCAGGGTGGTCTTATTTCTTGTTTTGCAGACTTTTGTCCTCAGAAAACCTAAAGACTGGAGGGGAAAAACATAAAAAAACAAATCACCAGTCAAAGTAATATTCTTTCTAAATACTAAAAGTATTTTAATTTTGGCAATTTATGAAGTGTATATGGGGCACAAAGAAAATCTAAAAAATATTTTCATTTTTGGTCAATAAAAACATTAAATATTTTATTTTTTGAGAGGGGGGGGGAAAAGAAAGAGAAATTAATTCTTATTCTTGAAAAAATATGACCGGCTGCTCCGTACAGCAAGAAATAATATTGGTCTGGCCTTAGGAAAAGTGGTCCTATTTCCCAGTTTAACTCCCCAGTACAGCCTTACTGTACCACCCTTAACATGCGAGTTTGGTTTTACGCCCCTTTTTGCAATATTGCAGCAATATGACGGCGGGGGACCCTCAACAAAGGGACTGGTTGACATCAGGAGCATCAGTTTACACAACTGGATTATGATGGCATGCATCAACCAAGTCAGCAACCAACAGGTCTCCTTAGTGTGTAAGCGAACGTTTCTTAAACAGGCCTACCAAAGAAAACGTTCCCACTGTGCAGAAAAACGCAGAAAAGCCCACATTAATTGTGGAAATAGCAACATAAACATAATACCTCGCTACTGAAACAGTAAAAACGGCAACGAAAGACTATGAAACTGCAAAATTTTCATGTCAGCGAACTTTGACCTCTACTGCGCATGTGCATTACGATCCGTGCTTCTTTCCAATTTCCGAGGAACCGTGAATCGCCTCACGTGGAAAAAGTATTAAATATGTTGAAATAATTGTTGTCAATCATTTCATACAAATGGAAAGTAAATTAAACAAGTGTGCACACAAGTATCAAGATGATATGTGCCAAATAACACAACAGAACTACTTAAAAAGGGAATGTAACTTTTGTCCAAGCTTGAAAATGTCAACATGCGGTCGAGACTTCCTCTTCCATGTACGCATGCGCAAAATCGAAGTTGCAGGCTCTTTGCTTTTATATTCAGTTTGAGCGATTTAAAGTTGCCGTTTTTACTATTTCAGTAGCGAGGTATTATGTTTATGTTGCTATTTCCACCATTAATGTGGGCTTTTCTGGGTTTTTCTGCACAGTGGCAAAGTCTTCTTTGGTAGGCCAGTTAAACATGCAAGAGCAATACTGCAGCTATTCACTGATTTCACTAGTCACCTCCTACATCTTGCCACTTATGATATTTGGTGGTTTGTTTATTGTTTTAATGCACACTCAGCAGTATTCCAGCTATATGGCTGCAGTCTTAATAATTGAGTCTGGACCAGACAATCCAGTGATCAACAGCATGAGCATCTATCTAGTTAGGATAAGATGACAGTGTCAACCAAGTCAGTGAGCTTGATCCCCATCCTGTTAGTCACCTCTTATGACAAGCATGGATTGCTGAAGACCAATTCAAACCAGACCTTCATGTGTGTTCAACGTGCAGAATCTTGATCAATGATTCTATCTTACCTGGTTCAGAATGTTCAAAACATCGTGAGGAAAGAAAATGCAATTCTCTACATATACAGCATGTACTATGCTTATTGAAACATAAGCCAGATAAAGAATGTCAGCATATGTTGCCATAACATACCTGCTCATGTCATGTTTTAAAAACCCATCGGGTCACAGATCCCTTTACTGATACAGCCATAAATGCAGTTGGACCAGTGCAATATGATCAGACAATGACAACACAAACTGACTCATATCGGAATACGTAAAAGTTTGAGTCATGAGAACAAAGGAGTACATTCTCTACTATTACACCTTACATAACATTCCCCACATAACACCACCCCCTACTTATTTCAGGTTTACAAGATTACAAATTTTCAGCTTTTTGGATATAGTACAGTATAAGAAATAATTTAAGATACAGGTTACAGATAACTGTTTTCCAAGGGATTTAGGAGAAATGAAATGACATTAAAATAAAATGAATAAGGAATTAACGTTACTAAGATATCCCTAAATTGTGGTACAGATATGTGTAAATACAAGATAGCCATAAAAGTCATAATCTTTCAATGGCAGGACACAAGATAATTGTGGGTATCTTATATTAAATATCACTTTGGGCATTACTAGATTTCCTTCCATATTCAATACTTTTTCAACTCATGTAATGTGGTGTCTGAATTTCACCAGTGATATCAGTAAAGAGATGACCCAAACTGGAAAGATGACAATGAATATTTACCTTACATGCTGTTTCATTATATATTTTCTGGCATATTTGTACACACACATGAAACATAATTGCAATGGTCATATATTCCACATAAATTACACAAATACACTGCTCATCTGGTGCTGACCGTAGTTCACTGGGGCACCATTTCAAAATAAATGTGCTTGTTTCTATCCAAATGATATAACCTCCAGAAACTAACCCTTGTCTAGCCTTCAGTGACTCTATGAAACTATTGAACTTGGGCAGCCAACAATGTGTGAATGGATGGAACCTATACAACTGCAGGGGTGGAAATAACTTTAAAATTGCTAGTGTACTCCGGTACAGTGGCACATGTAAAATCACTTGCCCTGAAAATGTTTCCACTATACCGGCTGTTTTCTTTGTTGATTTTTAAATAAACAACATAATTAATATTGGAAAGTCAACTGGACACCAGTACAGTGTGATATACAAATTTGCTTGACCGACAGAAAAAAGCACTGGACTCGGACGTTGGGCAATGGGTTATTTCCACCCCTGTGACCATAATTCACTGGGGCACCATTTCAAAATAAATGTGCTTGTTTCTATCCAACTGATATAATTCCAGAAACTAACCCTTGTCTAGCCTTCAGTGACTCTATGAAACTATTGAACTTGGGCAGCCAACAATGTGTGATTGGATGGAACCTATACAACTGGTAGATATGATTCCTACATCAAGGACCAGAGGGATGATGGCCCTGTAGATTAGCAGGTGCCAACTGATTGAACATGTTCCAGGATGCCCTGGCCTGCTGGTGCCTATTAATGGAGCTGTCAGTATCTCTCCTCACTGACCACATTCTTTCACTTCCATGTTAACAAGTGCTGATCACTATTCCAGCAGCATGCAAGAGGGGATCTCTCAAATCAGGTTGTATGCCATTAATGTCTCAGTTTGGGAATCAGATAGTTCAGATTGACACAAACATGTGCTTTGACTTGGATATATGCCACTCAAAGAAGTTAAGGAACTGTTGGCAGTTCCTAGACTATTTTCAAACAACTCATCATTGACACAAAAGATTATTATTGGTAAGACTGGGATTTAAACCCACAAACCACAGATCCTCCAAGAGATACAATCATGAAAGTATGCTCAATACACCTTAGCATGTGTTCCACTGGGCCACAATGGTGTTGAACATTCCAAACGACATGGAAAACACACTCTCAGAAGAGCAAACAGTTTTTGGTTCCAAATAGTAGCTAGCTTGCAAAAAGTAGCACTTTCAGAAAAGTATTAGTAACACAATGTATCTTCAACAGTAATATCATGCCTATAAGCTTATATAAGGGTGTATCTGTACACACTGTAGTAGTACGTTAATTGATCAATTAGCAGCTGTAATGAACATGTTCCGGCAATATTAACATTATTTCAACATGAGATGCTCTCTTTTTGTACTTTCAGTGATATGATCATACTGTCGTAATTTCTGCGTAAAACAGAAACAAACAAGAAACCAATCGTAGGGTTGGCACCAGTAGTGAAGCACCTCTGTTGCATGTCAAGTACCATACGATAACAGATATCTTTCATACCTAATGAGATATCAGAATATCACACCCTGTTTATATGAATGTACTACAAAAGTGTGAAAAAATGCTTTATGCAAATGAATCTCCTAAACTTAAGAAGCATTTCCACGCAAACTATAAATCTAGCTGTCACTTTCAACTTTTGCCAGAGTGAAGATATTTCTACACACTGATTAGATGTACACTTTTCTTTAAATGATGAAATGTATTAAAAATGAAAATAATTTTTTAAAACCCAATTAAACATATATATATATCAAACTTGGAAATATTTATCAACAGTGTCTCCTTAATGTCAAACCAATGCCAAATGACATGCTACACTTGCTCAAAGACCATGTACAGTCATGCATGGTGAGTAATACCTAGCGAGATACAACATGCCTTCAACATTTGTCATTACTTGAAAATGCCAACACGCTACACTCATTCACTGATAAACACAACCCTCACACTCAAAAATACATAAAGCCTACATTAATGTTAATACACGGAACACTAATGATTTAAATTTGTGATAGAAATCTACCATCAACTTAAATAGCAGCAACTGAAACAGAAACGTTTCCATGGCAACAAACATGGTACCGGCTGAGACATAATCATACAAAACACAAGTAAACTTCAAACATCCAGCAAGGGTCAAGGAGAGCGAGATGTGGGAAAAGACAACCGTCAGCAGCTAAAAGGGATGCAAGGGAACAGTTCCTTCCTATTTCCTTGCACACCCTACAACTGCTGTCAATGACATTATCCCGCCATTGAAATCAGCAACCAGGCCACATTAACCTGCTTATAATTTTTTCCCCAAAACATGGAAATGAAAGAACCATCTCTAATGCATCTACCACTCCGACTAAAGCTCTCTAACTATATCTCACACAAGCCAACCTTATCATTAGGCTCGTCAAACAAAGAATATTCTTCCAGATGTTTATCTGACGTCAGTTTGGGTATCAGATAGTTGTCCGCATATTTGATAACTGAAGCCGATTTCCTTCGACATTTGTCAATACCTCCAACCTGAACCCCAACATCACACATCTGTCGGCCAGGGTCACTGATTCGAGAGGACTTATCATAATGTTTTCCGTTTCTTGTCCGATCAAAATTTTTCCTGGCAATCAGTAAATCCTTCTCAATATTGAACCTGTTATCCCTTGTGCACAAATGAACAGCAGTCAGACGGATTTCTTCTTCATCTGGACCACATTTTCCTTGAAACTGTCTCCGGTCTGGTCGTAATTCCTTGTAATCCATTTTGACCTCCCAGCTTTTTCTTATATCCTCTGGATGCACACAATTCACATAGTCATGTCCCTTTAAAAAGTGGGTCCTATCTATCCTGAATCCATCAAAGTTCTCCTTCTTTTTCTCGATCCGTGCATATTCCGGTGTACTGTTCTCGACATTGGCAATAGCGTTATTTTCGGCTGGGGGAGAGGTATCAGTCACGACATTATTAGGAGCAGTCCGAATCTTGTATTTCTCTAAATCCTCTTTAGGAAACGTGTAGAGAACTTTGGAATCATCGTCCGTGCGACCAGCTCGACAGTTGTTGACGATGTCTCTCACTTCCTGGACACACCTTGACACGATATTACCCATGACAAGGGCAAACAAGCAATAAATACACCTTGGACAATATCAGACAGTCTTTCCCTATCATACCTACACAACAGCAGCAGAGCTTCTGAATCACACTCGCCTCTGCCTTGCAATGCATGCTCATATTTCCCCTCCCCTCTATAACGCTGCTGGGCAGAAATAGCACCAACCATACAATTCCTAACAATTCCCAAACAAATAACATCAAACCTAAATCATTCTTTCCATTACGTTATCTCAAAGCTTTGACACAAGTTTCACGTCTGCTACCAATGTCCTAAAGTGTTGGTGTTATAGAGAGCATTTTGTGTACACCTTCAAGGTTGACTTGTAAGAGCAGGATGAAGATGGCATACAGATGGGAGGCACCTCTAGGACTCCATCCAGATGCTCGGCTCTTTTAAACAGCTATCAAATACATGCATATGTACATGCAGGACATGAAAAAATAATCAGCGAGCCTGAGAAAGGCGCCAAGACAGAGCGAGTTGTTTACCCGACTCATCTGATGGAATCTTGATACTTTTCTTTTCCTTCTAAACGGGATACTCATAAAACGTGGGCATTAATAGCCACAAAGTTTTGATATTACCCCTCTGATATTCGGGAGTCATGTTCCGTGGGAAAGGAAATCCAATCATTGTTGATATAGGATATCTTCATTTCAGGCATTGCCTTGTGAAAAAGACTCTTTTACGATTCTTCCTATCTGTTTCAGTTAAAGATTCTTTTATAACTGTTTAGTCATGGACTTTAGTCATCCCCTCAGTGGTGTGAGTGAGTGATTCTTGTTTAACCCTTATGCCCATTCTTGGAAAAACCTCATTTGACAAAATATCCTTATCTTCTATGGTTCTTTTCAATTACTGTAGTTTGTCATGAATTAATTTATGTATAAACAGAAATCTTAGCTAATAGTTGGAGCTGAATATAAAAATTGTACTTGTTACTGGAAATGTTCAAGTGACGCAGGTCCTAGACAATTACCACCATTAGTGAGTGAGTGAGTGAGTATGGTTTTAAGACACTTTTAGCAATACTACAGTAATATCATGGCGGGGAACACCAGAAATGGGCTTCACACATTGTACACATGATATATTTAATGATAATACCTTCTAGTGGTGTGACGATTCATCGATACGTATCGATCCATGGGCCGCCGATACTGTGAATCGATACAAAGTTTTACATTGTCGTATATCCCGATACGATACTTCAAATGGGCAATGATACATCGATGTTTTACTTTGAATATTGCCGAATCGCGATATCTGGCAAAAAAGACTTACTTTTGTTTGATGATTAAAATATATGCATACTTATTTTCCCTTCATAAGTTTCTCGGAAATTCTTGCGTCAGGAACTGTGTCAAACATAGTGCTCGCATTTATTAACATTCACAAAGTGCGTGTATAAACTTAATTCTCTCATTTCCGAATGAACATTGAAAAACGCCGCCGGAATTTGACGAAATATTTTAAAATGGTTTTGTTTGGTTTAAGTGGACTAAAACACCATACATGATAGTATTTGTACATCACTGCCTTTCTACATATGATGTTTATTGTGGAACAAGAGCATTATTCCAGCTATATGACGACCTGTAAATAATTAAGTATGGGCCTCATAATCCAGTGATTGATATCATGAGCATAGCCCTATGGTGGCATCAACCACCCAATTCCATCAAGTCCCCCTTCTGACATTAGCATGAATTGGTGGAGACCAATTCACGGATCAGTCACCTTTGAAATAAGAACATACCTCCTCCTTTGGCTGAATGCTTATCAACAAGCACCTCTCCATAAGAATGTATCATGAAATGACAAAATGTATATTAGTAGTGACAGCTAGTTGTACCTTATCTATTCATATCTAGCCTTGCTGAAAGGCTGCATTGATGTATAGTTAGTTTTTACTAAGAACGTTTTTTTCAGTAAAATATGTTCATTTCAGAGACTAGTTGTTAGTCTAATGTATAGTCTATACATAGCAATTCTATTCATACGACCGACACATGCACTTCAGTGTTTCATAGAGACAACATGTTCGTATGATTTACATTATCTAGCAATTAGGATTTAAGCTAGTAATCATTTCCTTAGTGACTTGAGTGAGTCTAATTCATATCCAGAATGTTCCTTTTCGATTTCAGTTAGTTTCCATTACAGTTATTTATTGGGCATGTCACTTCCTCTTCAGAACACATGTCTTCCACAGTGACTTATACAGGAAATTGGAAATACCCAGGCTAAAAATAACTTTAAAATGAGTACTTACAGTATTGTAATAGGATATGACTGGCAAATTTCATTCATGACCGGTAAAATTTTAGGTCACCAGACACAGTGTCCGTTAAATAATTAAATCAGCGGAAACACTGTGATTACAGAATCATTGACCTTCAATTTCAATCTTAGATAATCATATGTGAGAAAAGCTCCTACTGTAGAAATATGTGCAACAAAAACAACTTCCGCATATCAATACACTCTGAATAATACCATTATTACCATAACTTAATGTTTACATTTCCTTGAGCTTTTAAAAAACTGCCTACTTGCTGCCTGAGTATTTTGAGAGCCAGTTATTGTATCCAAAATTAAATTCAGGTAGCCAAACTATACATAACATGCTGTAGCTCAATAACTGCTACTTTAAGCCACTCATGGAGTGAGAAATATGTCGTCCAAACAATTTCCAATTCAGTTGAATCCAGTTTTCTTTCCATACTCAGAGCTACAGATAACTTTTTGGGTCATTGAGTTATGTACTCACTTGTGTTCATCTCAAATGGGTATCCTAATTTTCCTTTGAGTAACAAAATAAATTGTACTCACCTCACTCAAACTCAATTGGGTATCTTGCCATTTTCCATTATTTTTGAAAATTTAATAAAGTTTAAATGTTAGTGTTTGTTATCTGTATTTCATCTGTAATATGAGAAACGATAAGAAAGACTGCAAGTTGCCAAGTTCATGTCCTGAAACAGATCCTCTCAATATACCTCAGTTATTTTATCTGTCCACCTCTACGCAAGCTAAGATTTGACATTTTTGTGTGTACGCATGTAAGATCGCATTTATTGAGTATTTACAAAAATTCAAGCGTACTTGTACGCAATAGGCTTAATAGAAATTGAGTTTTCACATATATATTTGCGTAATTTACACAGATACGCAGCTTATCTGTACCTCTGCATATTCATGTTCAGACCTTGACTAACATGTAGTCTTGAAATGAAAATATTAAACAAAACAAAATATTTATGAGTTATCTTAATAAAATATAACAGAAAGGAGCCAAGACTTTCTCCATTTTCAGAACTGCAACTAATCAAGACTTGCTTATTTATTATAGACTTTGATGGGCTGTGCGGAATCTATTTGTTTCTCGGTCCGTACAACAGACATGTTTGGACCCATTTACAGCACTGTAACGGTAACAATGCGTGTAATCATTTTACTTCTCCACACCTAACACAGAATTGCATAAAGCAATATTTATTCCTTTATTCCTAAACACAGTATCCTGGCTATTGTAACATAACTGCACTGCTTTGACGACACGCGCACAACACTTCAAAGCGGCTAAAGTGTTTGGCTTGCAAACTAGTTCACTGACACAATATGCCTATCATGGTATTTTTTATGCAGTGTAATGAGCATGTTTTGTATGAAGCCCATGGACCAGTGAAGGGAGTCTGGCATTTACATGCTTCCTGTCGTGAGATTCACGTATCTTGCCTCCCACTCGGCATCAAGGCACATCTCCTGTGCATCGGGTCTACTGGAGCTGTTTATAATAGAGAACAGCAGCTCTGGATGATCTGCAGTACTCAAGAACTACTACACACTTACAGTTAAAAGACTCCTTCCATGAGTGAGGGAGTTGGGTTTTACGCTGCTTTTATCACAGTAGGAATACAAGTTTCACACTTAAGCTTCTTTTAGTGTCCATGTGTGGAATCGAACTCAGACCTTAACGAGCACTTTAACCACAAGGCTACCCAACTGCCCCCACATATGATAATTGATAGTCTGATTTAAAACAATCAGGCCTGCTGTCTATCAATGCTTCTCTAAAGTCATTTTCTGGAATTAAGACAATGTAAGAAATGTTCAGACAAAGAAAAGAAATCCTTTGACAGTCAGACATGATAGGTGATTGAGTTAGCTTTTGTGTCACTTTTAGCAATATTCCAGCTATATAACACTAACAGTGCTAAAACCAGAAATGGGCATCACAGATTCTATCTGCAACAGGGAATCAAACCACGAAGTGAGTGAGTGAGTTGAGTTTTACACTGCTTTTAGCAATATTCCAGCAATATCACGGCAGGAGACACCAGAAATGGGCTTCAAACATTGTACCCATTTGGGAAGCGAACCCAGGTCTTCGGCGTGACGAGCTAACGCTTTAACCCATGGGCTGCCCCTAAACCATGATGTGACAGATGTACATCAAATATATATAACCTTGTGTGTATCACACCACAGATGTGATACTGGACTGCAGCAGAATTCAGTAACCACTTCTCATTTTGATTTAACAGCAGGCAACAAGTTGTTTTTTTCCCCAAAATCACACTTCCATTTCAAATGATATTAAACAACCAGAATGAAATGCTCATATTCCCCCATCATATGACAAGTCTGGTTGTGTGCAGGACAATAGCCTGTGAACTACAGTCCCTGAAACTTTTTGTAAATGGCGAACTGCCAGCACCATAACTAACACCCACTGTGAGGGGGAAGGCTGGTTCCGGTGCCACTTATAAGTTCGGGTTTGTGGGGTTTTTTTCAACAGTAATTCACAATTTACCTTGTACTAGTTTCCTTGTCAAGTGGCATGCATCTCTGCTTTGCAATACTGGGGGCTGTTCTCAAAACAACCATGCGCATATAGATCTTACCAATCCAAAACAGTATTCTCGAACAACTCTGCATATATAGATCTTTTTGTAGAAAATCCAAAACAGTATTCTCCAACAATGCATATATAGATCTTACCAATCCAAAACATTATTCTCGAACAACTCTGCATATGTAGATCTTTTTGTAGAAAATCG